AAGTTGTTAGATTCTCACATCAATGGTTAGTTTCTAAAAGTCATTCAAAATATGTATAGTAACATTAAATCTTGTGTTTCCCTAAATGGTGGTTTGTCCTCCTTTTTGCATGCTTGTATGGAGTCCATCAAGGTAAGAATCTTCCGCTTCTTTTGCCCACCTTTTTCTTTACGCTTTACAGACCAGAATTGAAGCTTCAGGTGGCATCGGTGTAAAACTTGAAGACGATTTAAATGTATCTAATGCCATAAATTTTAGTATTTTTGTATGCTGATGGCACCGTTATCATTTCAGATGACTCAACGGATTTCCAAATATGTTTAAATGCTTTACTTCTTATTGTAGATAATTGAGTCTTTCAGTGAACTTTAACAAAACAAAAGTTATTGTGTGTGTGGTTGTCGGTCTGTTCGTTACTAAGAATTCAAACTTGGCGATGACATTCTTGATTTTACTGATATATATCATTTTCTAGGCTTAAAGTTTCTGTTTAAGTTCTGGGTCATTTCTTCTTTGTTTTGAATTTTTCATTCATTATTGTGTAAATGACATTAACAGTAATACAATAGGCATTCACAGGATTGAAACTTTTTTCCTTATAAAGAATAAAATTTTTGTTTCCTAACTTGACCCATTTGGCTCAGGTTAGAGCATAAGGATTTCACAATAGTCACAGTGATCTCTTGAAACGTTAAAAACATGTCAAATGAACTACTAGTATCAATCATACAATATTCAAAATATCTGTTATTTATCTTCCGAGGTTTATTAAAGTTACATGACATGCTTTAAAACTACTGGGTGATTCTGTCGGAATCTAAATATAGTTGTCGGTATCTAAAATTGGTTAAACATATAATAGATGTTTTTACGCTTCAAACCCGAAATATATAGAATTTTATACATAATTCCATGCTTCGACTTTAAAGAATGTCATTTTAGATGTGATTTGAGTACATAAAATTATTTTCATATATTTATCCCCCGCCGAAAGGCGGCGGGTATAAAGAAATAATCTCCGCCCGTCCTTCAATCCGACATTTTTGTCCTGAGCATATCTCAAAAAGAATTTGAGGTATCAACTTGAAACTTCATAGATAAATAGACCATATTAAGAAGAAGTGCAGTGCACAAAAAATATAACTCTATCCTGCATCATTTTTGAGTTATTGCCCTTTGTTATTTTTCAAACTTAATTATTGTCTAGAGCATAACTCAAAAAGTCTTTGAGATATCAATATGAAACTTCATAGGTGGATAGATATCGCTCAGAAAAAGTGCAGTGTACAATTATAATAATTCTACCTTCATAAATTTAGAGTTATTGCCCTTTGTAATTTGTTCATACTTAATTCTTCACCTGAGTGAAGCATAATTCAAAAGTCTCTAAGATGACAACATGAAACTTCATAGGTGGATATATCTTATTGAGGAGGAATGCTGTGTGCAAGAATGATGACTCTTCCATTTATAATTTTTGAGTTATTGCCCTTTGTTATTTTTCAAACTTTTTGTCTGGAGCTTATCTCACTTGGTATCAACTTGAAACTTCATAGCTGTATAGATCTCATTCAGGAAAAATGCTCTTAACTTTCAAGAATGATAACGCTACCATGGATAATTTTTGAGTTATTGCCCTTTGTTATTTTTAAACTTAATTTTTGTCCCAGAGCATAGCTAAAAAAGCCTTTGAAATATCAACATTAAACTTCATAGGTGGATATATCTCACTCAGGAGGTGTGCAATGCATAAGAGTGATAACTCTACCCTTCATATTTTTTGAGCGATTGTCCTTTGGTTTATACAGAATTTATTTTAGTTCGATTGTGTAGGAAGCTATAAGCTTATAGACACACTTTCGAATCCGTTCCTGGAACCAACCAGTACTGAGCAATGTGTGTAAAGTTTCTTGCTCAAGGAAACAACGACTTGCCCCTGACGGGGTTTGAACTCATGCGGCTAGCGATCATTAGATTACTAGTCCGACGCGTTAACCACTCGGCCATGCCGCCACACAAGATTGTCCTTTGTTATTTTTCACCCGAGTCGAGCATTACTCAAAAAGTCTTTGAGATGTCAACATGGAAACTTCATAATTATGTGGATTAATCTTATTGAGAAGTAATGCTGTGCGCAAGAATGATAACTCTACTCTTTATAATTTTTGAGTTATTGCCCTTTGTTATTAGTCCCCTACCAACTACCGGTTTAACCGGAGGGGGCTTTAGGTTTACCCTCCGTCCGTCTGTCTGTCTGTCCGTCTGTCTGTCTGTACGTCTGTCAGTCTGTCTGTCAGTCCGTCAGTTCGTCCGTCCACAAAACTGGATCCCGCGATAACGCAAAAAGTACTGATAATATAATTATGAAACTTGATATATGGATAGATGGCAGTATGGAGATTATGCACGTCTTTTTTTTCTTCCTATGTTGAAAATTCTGGTTGCTACGGCAACAAATAGTATGAAAATATGGCAAATTTAACACATAAACTGGATCCAGTGATAACTCAAAAAGTACTGAAAATATTTTTATGAAACTTATGGGTAGATGGCAGTCTGGAGATTATGCACATCTTTTTCTGTTCTTCCTATGTTGAAAATTCTGGTTGCTATGGCAACAAATAGCCTGAATTTCAAGATTTCTGATTTAAATTTTCCAGCTTTTTCACTACAAGTTCTTTATTTCTTAAGGTGTTTACTTCAAACTTTAAATATATGTTTCTGGTCATCAACCACATATGTTACAAAGTTTACAACTCTAGCACAACAATTATCAGTATTACCTCCCTTGAACTTAGAATTTGTATGAAAAAAATGTTGTCTTTTTTTAATAACTTCTTTATTTCCTAATGTATCTACTTCAAACTTCATATATATGTTTCTTATTATCACTCAACATTTTTGAGAAGGTTAAATACTCTAGCAAGACTATTTCCAGAATTATGTCCCCCTTGAACTTAGATTTTTTTCGAGAAATTGGTATTATTCACTCCAACTTCTTCATTCCTTATAGGATTTACTTTAAAATCCCACATCGTAATAATATGACAAGGTTGTATAAACATAATTTCCTTACTAGGCAGGGAAACTTAACACATTACTGTGATATAGACAAACTTAGAACTCAAAAGATTTAAGTTCATTCATGTCATTCATTCACTGGTAAAATTGACTGGCCAATGGCCCATCAGAAAGTTGCTGGGGTTCTTACCGGTAGGGGACTTATGGATTGCTTGCAATACTATGATAATTGCTTGTTTTTCATACTTTTTGTCCGGACCTTATCTTAAAAGTGTTAGAGGTATCAACTTGAAACTTCATAGCTTGATAGATCGCATTCAGGAGGAGTGCAGCAGCCTACACTGCATAATTTTTCAGTTATTGTCCTATGTTTTTCAGCCACCAGTATTCACATAGGTTTCAAATCTGTTATCACTTTGGCATCAGTTTCCATTTCCAAAAGACCTCTTAAAATTGAATTATTCTGCTCTACTACATATATATTCTTCCAACGAGCAAACACATTCGGCGGGGTATAGTTATGTTAACATGGCTCTTGTTGTCATTAATTTGACGGAGTATCCCTTTAATGCATGCAAACACGTAGTTGTGCAGGCAAAAAAGCAATGTTCTTACTTTTCTTTAAAATTAGAAATGCTGACTTACCGATAGATTTGAGCATACAATTATTCAATCACTGTCGTACCGATTCTAACATATGGCTCAGAAGTTTTTGGCTTCGAAAACTTGTTAGAATCAGTTCATAACGATTGTTTTGCACACATTATTAATCGCCCGTAGAAGTACACCTATTTATATATTACACGATGAATTGCTTATCTCAGTTGTAATTAAAAGCAGGATGATATGATTTTGGACACGCTTACTATCTGGTGACCAAAATAAGTCATCGGTTTAACTTTATAAATATATTGTCAATCGTCAAACCACAAACAATTAAATGCACGTGTGATAGAACAGTATTCAATGACAGAAAGTACTCACTTTCTGACTGAGTTGAATAAGGCATCGGAAAACATTATTTATTAAGCTGCCCTTCCTTTTCGTATCAACGGTCTATTCTTACCAATAAGTTAAATTTCGCAGTTTTAAACACTGAGAGTTATTTTAATAGTCTGATGAATATGAAATCACCTAACAAATTAAAGCATTTGACTATGTTTGTAAAACCTTTATGGCTAAGTTTGAAAATTTATCTGAATATTAATGCCATTTAGTAAGGTAAATATATATTTAATCTTACATTGCATTTTACATGTTTTTTGTTTGTTTTTATACAGTTACTACCTATATGGAATATGTACTTGTTTCAAACTTTATTACGGTCTCTCCCAATTTATTACTCATACACCTTTGTCAAACTGTAATCTGTTTTATTTGACTTTTCTTATATTGTATTGATTCATGAAGTTTTAAATGGGAATAGTAATTTATGTCAAAAACAAATTATTACAGATACGATTTATTTCTACTAAAACTTAAAAAAAATGTATTTATGTTCGGATATTCCTGAAACAAAAGGATGAGTATTTAGATGGGGTGGGAAAATGCATCAGACAAAAATGATTATGCAAGTGATTACCAGCGGAAGAACTCAACAACTGAAAAAACAACGATGATGAAAATGAAAAATAAAGTTTATGCTAGATGCAAAAAATGATGCATAAATGATAATTTAAATAAATAAACCATCTATTTATTGAAGAAAATTCATGCTAAATAATTTATGTAATTCAAAAAGATATGTTTTAACAACCCAATCGCTAATGATAACCTCCTACTACAGTTCGCATATAATAGTAAAAATTAGCATGGACTCCAAATTAGGACCGACTCGATATAAAGAAAATGTGCACAGTTAGGCATGGGCAGTAACAATTAGATCATTATGGCCATGTTTATTATAATATAAAATTTGTCATTTACCATGAAACATTATTGCATTTATAATTTTTTTAATATTAATTGTATTCTTGAAGTTCGATTGGTGAATGGGTCAAATCAGTATGAAGGGAGACTGGAAATATGGCATGATGAGTCTTGGGGGACAGTGTGCGATGATTCCTTTACAGTGCTATCAGCAAGTGTTGTTTGTAAGATGCTAAATTATCAACAGTGAGTTACCAACGATAATAATTTATTTCTATATATGTAGACAAGCATGTTATATAGTGGATGTCTTATTAATCGTTTTAACTTAAAGTGATTATCACTTTATATCACGAAAATCAGGAACCTGAATAAAATGAACGTAGAAAGACAAAGTAAATTTTATTTTATCATACACTTCTTCAATAACTTTCTGGAATCGCGTTCATTCCATTTTTGCTAGACCGTAATATCATGTTTATTTATTTTTCTGATGGACATTAACCAACCATCAGATAATTAAATTCAGGCAATACGTATTCATAGAGCCTTTTTGATTGAAGAGTGTCCATCGATCGTTGTCCTTGAAACAATTTCTCCTTTAAAACAACAAACTGGATTTGTACTAAATCTAACAAAAAAGGTTCTTTAGTGGCACTCTTCAGAAATTAGATCATATGTATATGGTCACAAGAACTACAATAAACTCTACAATGCATCAGTTCTTTCGTATATTGCTTGCCATATCAAACCGGATGCCTGAATGCATTCCCTAGTGAACATTAATTGTCCAACCCAGTGACAACTTAGTTAATAGAGACTTATATAGTGAAACAGTAAATTGTTTTCGTGAAAAAAAATCCCATGCCGATTGCTTAGATATTTGGAATGAAGCATTGTCAAGTAGACTTCTATGGAATTAAACCTAAATTGAATCATTCCCCTGGGTCAAATAGGTATCACCCTAGGACTCACGAAGTTTACATAGATTTGTATAGTAAACATATGTCTTAAATTACATTTCTTATATTTAATAGACGTTTATAATAAACATGTTTAAAAAAATCTTCTTTTACGAAACTTCAGTGCTCATGATAAACGTATTTGACATGTTTAAGCTAACGAAAATAATTCCCCTAGGATCAAAATTGATGAAAATAGACTTATATAGAAAAATTAATTTAAATCGTCTTATTTAAATACAAAGATACTCAAAGCTGAGATGTTTTCATGAAGCATTGCTTAATTAATCTCTACAAAATTACATGAATCATGCAGCTCTGATAAAACACAACACAAAAACACCCAATGTATTTTCAGACTTTTGCTTCCATGTACGTACAAAAACAGTTGCATTGATGTCAACCCTGTGATGCAGTTGTATGTATAAAGACCAACTGTTGGATGCTCAAAAGACATGCATTTATTTTAAATAACAACACGTTGATTAAAGAGATTGATTGATTGCATGTATGTTGTGTCAAAACCCGACAATTATGATATATCATTTTAGTACTAATCCTCTGGTATTTGGGTCGGCACACTTTGGCGAGGGAACAATACCGATACATTTGGACGATGTTCAATGTACGGGAACTGAAATCAGCTTAACTCAATGTCAACATAGAGGATTTGGAACTCATAATTGTGGTCATGGTGAAGATGTCGGCATATCATGTACTCCTGGTAAATCCTTTAATATCATTTATGTGATATATTCTTTGGAATAACACATTTGTGTTCCCTTTTAACAATGTTTCTGTAAAATTATATGTGGTTTAAACTCGTTTGTTGTTTAACACAGTTTTAACTTTCGAAAAACATTAGTAATAGTAAAGGATACCACCGTTTAGCGTTATCTGATGAACGATTAATTAAATTTTAATAAAAATCAAAACCTTTCTGACTCTAGTAGTCAAACTTCATTCAATTGCTCGTCTGTACTGGGTCATGACTCTCTTTTCTTTTTGACAAGTTATATAGCTGAATCATTTTCTTTAGAAATAGTCTGTAATTCCTTGTGAATGATCGGGAAAATTGATACTAAAGTAATATTGGTCACTCTTTAGACTATCGAAACATTTGTCATTTCGACTTCATAGCTTTAAGAAAATTGTTTTAGATACTGATTTTAATTTCGTTAAAGATGCCCTGTTTAGTTGACTGCCAAGTTTCAGTGACCTTTAGAAACATTGCTGTCATTTAAAAAAGCGATTTGTTGTTGTAGCTTTGAAGAAAGTAGTAAAAAAGTTTTTTTTAACAATTAAATTGCTCATTATAAACTTGAATGTAAACTGTGTGTATCTGGTTCAAGTATACAATTCCCTTAATATATTCGTTTTTCCGTGTGTGTGTGTGTGTGTGTGTGCGTGCGTTTGCGTGTGTGTGTGTGTGTGTGTGTGCGTGTGCGTGTGCGTGTGCGTGTGTGTGTGTGTGTGTGCGTGTGTGTGTGTATGTGTGTCATACTGTATTTATGACGATGAATTGTGGACCGTATCGCGGAACCAGGTAGTCTTATGATTTGTCTGTAAAATCAAAGTAAACGATGTCATGCTGTTCTTTGAATGTCTGCTCCGCATTGGCGCTTTAAATATCAGAAAGACCAGTAAAAATCCGTTGTGTATTTTGCATTTAACCTGCTGTTGTCCATGGCGTATCAGGACAGTCCTCGTACATAAAAGAAAATAAAACATTACCCCTGGGACGGAGCCAATTTTGACCCCAAGGCTATATTTTGTACACTCTCGGTAGAGGTTCATACCACAATGCATTGTGCAAAATATCTATGTTCTATGCCTTTTAGTTCTAGAGGATAATTTAAAAAAAAACATTATTCTTTTCGGTTACAATCAAACCAGGTCTCTGCATGAAATTAATTTCTTTATTCACTTTATAGGCCCTTCACCAAATGAACAATCCTGCAATTTTGGTTGTATAATATTTTTCCTTAAACCAACCGTGACGATATCCGAGTTACAGTCGGGCCATTCGTGTGCATCCGAGTAAGCCGTGTATTATTTTAAAAACTTAAAAGAAACTGACACGGATGTCATGTCCGTGTATGATCGTATAAGCGACAGTAGAAGACACTAAGATACCGTTTGAGACTATATAAAACCGTATATACAACCGTTTGAAGTGAGCCCTACCGTCTGAAGATCGTATGTAAATCGTATGAATCGTTCGAGATTGTCACAAAGTCCAACACCCGATTAACATCCGAATGTCACACGATTACGGTACGATTCACCAAGTTTACACACGGTTTCATACTATCGCCATACGACAAAGACGATTCAAGTACGAATAATACATGGCATACACGGTATAAAGGAAGTGTATACACAGTCCCACAGGCCTCGTATCATCTTACACGGCTACCTGCTGCCACCCTCAACTGCTAGATCTAATACCGAGAGTACTTGCTGCATCACCCTAGAATGCATCCAAGAAAGAAGGTTCCCAGGCACAGAAGGAAAACAAGAAAGGCCACCAAGGCCCACCAACAACTCCAACCTGCTGACCCTGAGGAGCTAGAGGACCCATCGGCATTACCTCAAGAGATACCCTTGTCTCAGACTCAGATGCCAGCTCGGCGGCCTACCAGCATAAAGTAAACAAACGTCAGCGGAACCATATGTAAACCCTGTGAAAGCCAAGCAAATGGAGTTAACTTCGTGTTTAATTGTACCAAACCGTACCAGACAGTACTAGACTGTACTTTAAACCGTACAACTATTGTATGTATTCGAATGCAAATCATGTTCAAACCTTGCTTGACCGAGTATATCCGTGCTTTATTTGTACGTACTCGTGCTACATTCGAATCTAACTCGTACCGGCACGGTCGGAGCTTAATACTCGTACCGGTCAACTACTGTATGACCCAGTATATAGTATGGGAACCGTGTACTCAACCTTGTTCTGTGTGAGACGGGCTACACTGTAAATGTCAACCACCTGTTTATACGAGACATACAAATATTGTCTTTTAGAATGAATTCTCAGCGCACTCAATTTTTTACTGTCTAAAAATTATGAGTATTGCCAACCGTTTGATGTCTGTCTTCATTAAAAATATTTTCAATTTCCTTAACTCAGGGCTGGGAATCAAAACTGCGTCATATCCTATAAAATGTAAACAAACGCCGCCATCTTAGAACGAAAAAGGTATGTTTTTGTTTATAACTCTTTTTGTTGGAAATGGCTGAAAACCAGATATATGTATTAACACGCTCCACTTTTTCCGCTTCGTTCGGTATATGTTGTTTGTACAACTATTTTGTAAAACAAAATTTATAGCGAACTTGCAACTCGAAGCGGGCCAGAATATTTATGAAATTTTGTGGATACGACGCAGTTCATAATGCTTTATCCATCGTTTTTCTTTTTCAAATCAATTACATGTATATACTAATTTTAGAGTTTATAATAAACTTCAAAATATAATTATGCATCATGTACTTAAAAATAAATGTTTATTTTTTGAGAAAATAATAATATGTACGAAATGATACGACGCAGTTGAAAATGAAATATGATACGACGCAGTTGTATTTTTTGCATTCTTTTCAACAGGAACAATTTTGGCAATATATGACTATTTTATCGGATAATCACTTGTGCTAGATCAAAAACTAAGATCATTCGCAGTTTATAGCAATGTTCTGATGCTTTTGATTATTTAGAAAGCATTGTGTCATGTCCAATTTTCATTGCAGAAGCTACTTTTCAGTTAAACATGAACATGTTACTTTATTTATCATAATATCTAAAATATTGTTTTATTTTTTCCCGTATGTTCAAAATTTTCTGTATTTTTTGCAAAAAAATATAGAAGTCTATGAACTTGAATCACAAAATTCGTTTTGGCTAGCTACGCTCTTAGTAAACTGTGGGTCTGCATGTTCTAGATGATGACTGCTTTTTGTGGTTTTATTTAAAACTTTCACTCTACACTTTAGTTTTACTTGGGGTTAGGAACTCAGGTGCGCCTTTGTGCATTATTTCATGCAAAATGTAACACCTGCAGAGAACCATTAGCTTATGAAAGAATCAGAAGTCCCTACTGGTTTTCAAATTCACAACAGTTATGTGCAAGTGATTTGAAGTCAGTAAACATAAACAGCTCGGCCTCGGTCGGACTCACCTCTGACAAATTTGTAAACCATCGTCTGAAATGTCAGCGGTACAAGTAAGCAGTTTTTTTAATAAGCTTCTGACATGAAGTTTGAAGGTTACAAGTATTTAAATTCATTATAAAGAGATGACATTTATATTTCTTGTTTAAATGAAATATTTCCTTACTCTTTAAGATCACTTTTTACTTCGATATTTCGTTTAAAAAAGGATGTGTCAGTGGCGTGAATAGCAGAACAATTTTTCAATGTAAACAGGGGGTTATCCTCTTTGAAGACATTTTCTGAAAAAAAAATCTATGTGTCAGGCAATACTTATCAAATAAAAACACTCTTTAGTATAAGGGTGTGTCAAAATGCCTTCTCTTTAGTCTGTGGAAAATTTAGTGCGATAATCTGACCTAAGTTTTCTCATCCCGGGTTTAATCTCATATAGGAAAACTTCTTCAATACTATTGTTCATCATGTCGTGCATATATATGTACACATCAAATTTATCGGTGCAAAGCGTAAAATACGTTTGTAAAACGGACACTAGCTACTTTACAATTTCTTTTTTGTTTTATCTTTTGTAACCCGAATTTGAAAATTTAAAGTTTTTTAATGAAAAAGAATGACACTATAGTGCGAATCCAGAAAATATAGCCCGTAGACCTGTTCTTATCGTCGATAAAGAAATGCAATACGACAAAATCAGCGTCAAAGTTCCACAGAGCTGAACATAGAAATGATTGAACGAAACTCATGCAGTACTTGCAAAAATATATCGTAGCTTAACCATTTATAATATAATTTAAAAAATTTATTGTTCAGAATAAATGACCATTTTCCTGATCATGTATTAAAAGAGGAATAATATTTTATTTCAAATTCCGATTTAAGATTCAAATGATAAAGCTCATATGTTCTCATTGATTATTAAGAAAATTAATTCAATAAAATCGGCGCGTAAAGGACATAAGTAATAACGGAATTGTCGCAAATTGTTGTTAATTATACAAAGGAAGCCATGCAATTTGCGCATATGAAAAATGTACCCCCATTAGTTTCGAACTCATGGGAACAATTTTTATAGGCAAGCTAGGGCAGCACTTAAACATGAACGTTGTAATATGGGTGTGCGATCACGTGTTTCAATGTATTTGATACACCTTTTTGAAGTTTTTCGGAACTTGAAGATGCTTATGACAGTAGCTAAAATGCTACCGAAAAATGAAGCCTTAATAGAATTTTCCATTTTTGTTGGCCAAATGAGTGAATTCTGCTCTCGACTTAGTGGTAAAGGTCACTTGTGCGCCTTCATAATGATAAAAAATTCGCAATTAGAAATGTTGTTGGACTTTACTAGCATACTTGAACCAATTTGCAGTCTGCAATGAAAATACAACTGCGTCGTATCATATTTTATTTCAACTGCGTCGTATCATTTCGTATAAATTATTGTTTTCTTGGAAAATAAACATTTATTTTTAATGAAATCTAAGTACATGCTGCAAAATTATATATTGAAGTTTATGGTGAATTCTGAAATGAGTATATAATTAATTTGAAGGAAAAAACGATAGATAAAGCAATATGAACTGCGTCGTATCCACAAAACTTCATAAAAATTCTACTCCTCTTCGAGTTGAAAGTTCGCTCTAACTTTTGTTATACAAAATATTTGTGCAAGTAACATATACCGAACGAAGCAGAAAATAGTGGAGCGTGTTAATACATATATTTAGTCTTCAGTCATTTCCAACAAAAAAGTTATAAACAAAATCATACATTTTTCGTTTCAAGATGGCGGCGTTTGTTTATATTTCTCAGGATACGACGCAGTTTTGATTCCCAGCCTGTCACTGCTCGTGATCGCTTGACTACAGGCATTGTATTTTTTATGTTTTCAGAAATAGGTTTTATTAAAAAGAAAAATTATATATTTATAAAAAACAATAAAATTAGTTCATTACCACTATGTAAATTTTGATCAAGTAAGGATAATTTTATTTTTCATCAATTATTATAACATGACTTTTACACACATCTTAGCTTGACCCCCGAATTCTCTAGACACTACTGAATTATGGCAAAGATGATTTTTTTCACAAATGCGATCTTGATGATTTTGTTTGCTTGTCTTTTTTGTTCCTTTTCTTCTTCACAAATTTTTCTAATCTCAATTGTGGAACATGTTTTTGCAACACATATCACATCGAGGCTGTGTTATGGAACTAACCAGTACTATTGTCATCTGGCTCGAGAAGGACTCACACCTACAGTCCCTTGATTTAGTGGCAGAGGCTTAAACATGTCGCATCTTACAATCTTGCTCTTCAACAGATTCTTAACTTTATGTACTAGTATTTATTTCTGTTCCATTACTTTTGAGTCGATGTATGTCCCCTTTCCGGACTTTTATACAAGGAGCTATATTAAGAAACCTTCTGAAATAAATAAGATAATCGTTTTCAATGTTTATAATATAATAGTAAGTTCGGAGACCTAAGGTGAAACACATTTATGCATTCCAAAGATATGAACATGTTTCGTTATGTTGATATATTTAGTGCAATATAAACAAATGACTTGGTTCTGTAGCCCAATAAAATGCCCTAAAATTTTGGAAAATAATATAATGTATAAACCATATCAAATATGTTTGTTTTTATATAAACACATCAGTCTTAGATCTATGCAAATATGTAGCTTATGTTGATTTTTGATGAACATTCCATACCAATATAATAATTTTTAGATACTGTTTGATGTTTTTGCACTTTTGATAAATAGATATGTACGTATAAGCCATCCCTCCATAAATTAACAATAACATGTGTTTTAAACAAAATGATGTGTCAAAGACATTGATTTAAAATTCTCCTTTTTTGTGTATTGACACTTAGTTTACTAGTTGTACAGTCCGCAAGCTCAACATGTTCACCTTTATAAAATAAAATTGACACTTGATAAATGCAATTAACAATACGAAAGGTCATTTATGACCTAAGCAGCTCACATTACATTTAAACAAATGCTGGCTAGTTAGTCGACTTACTAACGTAAACAAATTCTGGATGGCACTAATCTTTACCATCCTACTTTCGTGAAGAGAGTTTGACCTCAAAATAGACGTTCCGTATTAAAAAAACAACGAAATAAAGGAGTATTTGCCATATAGTTAACTTAACTTAATGAATGTGTAAATCATTCTAATAATTAAATATTTACAATATTAACTCTTCTGTTGCATTTAACTGATAGTTTTAATCCAAATAGCATGAAATTAATCCAAAATATAAAAGCAGCATCTGTGAACTTTATTAACTTAACTTTACTTAACAAGTGAATACTTAATATTTTGAAATAAATTCTTGAAAAAACAAAAAGTAAACATGTAATGTAGATCTTTTTATTCTGAGGACATGGGTTCGAATCTTATCGGAGGTTATTTTCGGCTCTTTAAATATTCTTCAATGCGATTTGAAATCATCTGCATTCAGAAAAGTATTACTTTCTAATAATTAATTCAAACATTCTATGAAATTTATCTCTTGTAACTTGAAATGCAAATTATTAAAAACAGAAACGAAATATCAAAAAATAAAATGTGCTGGTTGCTTTATGGCAACGACATTTAACAGTTTGAAATATTCAAAAGTTTATAAAGTTAATATAAATTACCAAAGTCCAAAAGTATGTGTTTACATCCATTTCTTGAATTTACAGTACATTTCTTCCTTCAATATCAAGGAAAGATAGAACAATTGCTTTTTCTGGCAGGTAGACATATATTCAAACAATCCACCCTCGAGTAATATTTTAAATTCTGCTTAATTCGATGCTAGGGAGCGTGGACGGTAACTTGTACTTTCCATTACCGTCTATGAACAGGTTCAATAAAACTGAGCCTGAATCATTTTCAATCTTGTCGTTCTCTAGGAATTCTGTTTTTCTCTATTTTAACTGGAAAGACATGAATCTATGTGTATATCGAATATACATATTTTCTGCATGCCAGTGGTATCTGTCTTACATAGCCAAAAGTATATTGACGTAAAGATTATGTCATGAGACTGATGCTTTCATTGTCTTAAAAGGTTACCAACTGATTTCGCCGGAAATTAAATTAGGTTTACAATTCATGTGTCCGTTCGTCTGGACGTCATTCCGTTTTAAAAAGTCATGACTCATAATTTATCATTTTCAAAAGTAAAGCTAGGTTGATAATACATAATGTGTATTACATTTTTGCGCGTTGCGTTGTCGTTATCGCCTTTTCGTCTTGTCATCTTGTCGCATTGCTAAACGCGCCAAACTGCGTGTTTTCGTGCAGCACGTTGTCGCCGTGGGGTCCTGTCGCTTGGATTGTATCGAAGGGTTGATTTCTTATCGGTGTTGTCGCATGGTTCGTTGTCGTGAGCACCAAAGCGCCAATACGCTGTTTGGCGTGTTTCACTAGCGACAGGACGACAAGGCGATAACGCGCCGTATGGCTTTTGTCGTGTTGTCGCCAGCTACAATGCGACGCGCAAAAGTGTAAACAAAAATCAGTTACTAGAGAATAGCGGACCATATGGTGACTATATATCATTTGTGGGTAATATGGTTATGGAAACAAAGAGATCTGAACAAATGTGCCATTATGAAAAAGTGCAAAAGCTAGGTATATGAAACGTAATATGTGCATAGAGGGCCATATTGAACTAATGCACGTGATACATCTTTGTTGATGATACTTGTAATGTAGATGGAGGGTCATATAGATGAGCACTTCATTTCAATTTGATCATCCTTTCGTCTATTCCAAGAAACTAGATCCTGTTCTAACTCTTAAAGGTATTGAAATTATGTATGTCCATAGAGGGCCGTATAGATATTATGTATGTCATTTAAATTCTTTTTATTCTACCGTCCATCTTTTCGTCCCTCTGTTCAAAACATTTATCCTGTCAAAGCTTAAAAAGTACAAGTCGATGTTTATATTAATAGGGGCTGAGGTAGGGAATCAGTCCATATATAACTGCCTCTTGCTATAAGCGCATCAAATACAGCACAAGCTTAAGAATATCTCCTAAATACAGTGTTTTGTTTTTGTTCTTCTTTTATCTTTAAGCTACAGGAATGTTGTTCGATACGTATATTCAACATTACAACGCTGCAAAATAAATTTTTATAATTCTATCATTATTATTATTGTTGAATAAAATATTATTTCCATTCTTGAAAGTTCGGTTGGTTAACGGGTCAAATCAGTATGAAGGGAGACTGGAAGTATGGCATTATGGGACTTGGGGGACAGTATGCGATGATTATTTTGATGTGCTGTCAGCAAAGGTTGTTTGTAAGATGCTAAAGTATCCACAGTAAGTAAAAGAAAATACATTATGTGCATATTTCTGCGTAATGTTAACATACATGTTTTTAGCGAAAAGAACACACTTGAAAATGGAGAAGGATGCTATTTCATTGTATACAACACATTTTATTAATATTTTCTGAAAACATAACATCCTCAACCATTACTTTTTCTTAAGATTGAATTTGTTGTTATCGCGTCCACAGACACTTGGGGTTTGGAGCTCAAAACGCCTTTAAAATCCAAATAAAATTCATATTTTCAATCCCAGCACATGTATTGATCATATATATCCAAAAACTTAATATAAGCCGTTTTGAAAAAAAATCATATTTCAACATCTATAATAATACACAAGATAAAAATGTTCGCCGGAAAAAATCTGCACCCCTACCGTCATAATCACCATGTATTTTATTCCATTTCCAATATTTACACATAATCCTTTGGTCCATCGACACAGAAGATATAATTCTTCGCGATGATGGTCAATTTTAAACTTCAACGGTAATATAAACAACGCAACAGCTGAAATAAACATCAAGATTATCCCCGTTTTCCTCCATTTACAAAATCTTTCGATAGATTTCCATCTCCAGTCGGCTATGTACGAAGCCATCCGATTATGTTGGTTCCCAAACTTAAAAGCGCTGCGCATTTTGCAAACGGCAAAGCTGGGGCCACGTTTGAATTCATAATCGGATGGCTTCGTACATAGCCGACTAGTGATGGAAATGTATCGAAAGATTTTGTAAATGGAGGAAAACGGGGATAATCGGAAAGAAATTACGGCGACTCTTCAGTTGTTTCAATCAATTTTCAAGTTTTTGTTATAGAATGAAAATTACGATTTTAACTTTCTAGTCTATTAAGAATAGTACCTAGGAATTAGATATTACAACTTTAAACTTTAAAGTTGGTCTATCTTGCGTAAATTCCTAGCGTATCGTTAAGCCGGGGAAAATAATTTATGCAGAGGAAAATCGGGACCGTACCCCTTTAAAGTTTCGCAACTTTGTAAACAATTTTCATAATTGTATTATAGACTTTAAGCATCTTGAAATTATATTTATGTATATTTTTATAGTGAATAAAAATAATTACAATGTAAAAATAACCTTTTCCCAATTTGGATTTCCGGAAAGCAAACACTGCTCTAATTTAAATTCTTACCTATAATTATTATTTCTTTACTTAAAAAAATCATCTTACAAATTTAGAGTTGAAACAAAGAAATCAAGGGAAGAAAAGAGAACTGTTCATCAATTATTAATAGAGCTAGTGTCAACTTTTCCGAAGTGTATATTGGTCTGCGTACCGGTGTCGGCGTTGTGGAATAGTTCATAGGCATTCACCATAATTCTAATAGGGTTATAAATACGGGTTTTGATCGAGCAATATCGATTTTTAGCGTACAAGTTACATAACTGTAGCAGCATCGTAAAACACACAAATGAGACGATGAAAGTAACTAATGCGTTTACTTCTTCTAACTCAGTATAGTGGCACTTTTCTATCGTTAATGCCTTATAATTATGTTGTTGAATTAATTCGCTGCATTTTCACATTTACACATTAATCCACGTGACACCACAGAAAAGTCACGTAGAAGCGAGATTCCGACCATGAACAAACATATCTCAGCATCTAGTTTGGCACTTCAATATATTTTGAATAATATTGTAATGATCTGACTGTAATAAAATCAACTAAATCTAACTGTAATAAATTGAACCAAGAGTAACAATATATGTAATTCAACTGTCGCATGCAAGATGAAAGTGAACTTGAGAAGTTATTTTTTTCTTTTATTCTTTAAGGGAATGATGATATCTACAAGTCAATTAACATAAAATAAGCTTTGTTTCATTTGAAAATCAAAACACAAACCCATTTATACGGCTATAATCTGTGCTTACAGCTAACAGTGGGTATCCTACATCTGTCTACAACACCTGTCATGTTTCACTGATTAAATTCGTTAAATCACTCTTTGTTGCATGCTTTAATCGTTTGCTTGTTCCATTTCGACAACATATCATGCGATAACTTCCGAAGAAAACGGATGTTTACTTTTTTACTATTCAACCAAAATATATTTAAGACGCAAAAGCACTTTAAGATCAAACGATTTAAATTTCTGTCTCTCTAAAGTCACTCTGGCGATGCCCAGTCGTGGTAAACATCGAAAAATAAAGGCTGAATCGAGAAAAAATGGCGGTCATTTTACTTTTTATTTTAGAAAATAAACCACGTGACCAGATTTTATACTGTTAAAAAGTACTTTTACCTATTTAACAGTACACATTTCTTAGTAACGGGGAACACATGCATTAACAGTTAGTAGACATGGAATTCGTAATGTTTATGAGGTTTGCTGAATTTACGTTTTCCTTTTAACAGGATTGCTGTTTAATTGTATAAATATAAGACAAAGTAAGTCTTCAGAAACGCATTAATTGAAGCAAAGACATGAATTCATTACGCCAGATAACATCTGAATTGTGCGTGAGTGAAATTTACATAACTTATGTGTAGAAGAAAGCGTCTGTGTAAAAATGATCAACACTGAAAGTGAAGTCGGCAATTGTTTACAGTAGAAGAAATAGATTAGTCCCCGGGGGGACTCTTCCGGGATATTGATATATATTCCATATTTCACTCAAACGAAAACATATCCTCTTAATATCAGTCAAATATATTTCATATTTTTAAAAAATAAAAATTAAATATAAATATGAAAGTGGGCGGAGTCGAAACACATTTTTATTTTAAGGGACTTCTTTCGCCATTTTGCTTAAAAAATCTGAGAAATACAAAACAACTTTTTGATGAATTTGTTTTGAAAACTATCTAGAATGATAGAAAATGGTCTAACTAAGAAAATAAATCCGAACACCAATATCTTTAATTTAGTTATAAACGCTGTACAGACAGACGTTTAAAGAGTTGTTTACGTGACGTCAACAAGACGCAATAATATATTACTGCGCGCTGTACAGTTGCGTAGCAAGCAATGGGATTCGTAACCATTTTTCTTTGATAATGAAATTAAATAAAAAGGTTATTTTTTCGTTTTTTCGTGAAATATGGTATATGTTTTCACTCAACATGATAAAATACCACATATTGCCACGTCGTCCCGGCTCGTGAAAATATGTGGCATTTTATCATGTTTCGTGAAAATATATTCCATATTTCACGAAAAACGAAAAAATATCCTCTGAATACAGGTGTAATACGGACAAATATGTCCGTGTACACGGACAAATATGTCCGTGTAACAGTAAATAACGATTAAATGACAATAGCAATTGATTTCCTGTTTGATTTTCATAACATTGCTTTAACTTACACTGCTCATTGAACATAAGCATGTTAAGATATTTTGATGTTATCATTTAAGTGCTGATCCTACAGTATTCGGAGCGGCTCACTTTGGCCGTGGAACATTATCAACATTATTAGACGATGTAAAATGTACGGGATCTGAAACAAGCGTGTTTCAATGTCCGCATTATGATTGGAGAGATAATGATTGTAGTAACAATGAAGATGTTGGTATATTATGTAAATAAGGTAATATTACTTTTCCTTGTTTCAGAAATACAAAATTCATGAAATAATTATTTTGAAGTTATTCAAATAAATCATGGTATGATAAATCAGTTCAGGATAATTGTTCTGATTAGAGCACACGATGTTTATAACAAAATTGAAGTTTTGTTTAAAACTAGTGTTCGTCTTTAATTCACCTATTCAAATATTTTATATCGTCATTACATATACGTACATATTATTATTTTTTTGCCAGGTTCAATTAAGCTTAATTGTTTGTAAGTTTGTATGACCATTATTTACCGGCTCGGGTTAAATCACAAACGGTCATTCATACACGGCCCTCATGAGAGTATTATAATGCATAAACTTTTAACTTGACTCTTAACCGTTACTGATTATATTTTCTTTACAGCTGAATGCAATGCCAAAATGGGACAACAAGAAAGGTACCTGGCCATCTTTATTCAAATGTTGTTTAAAATAGAGTTGAAGACGCGATATTATCGTTAAACGTTCCGAGTATGTATGGAAAAGAATTGAATACGAAGATTTGATATTCCATTTAATTCACAAGTTTACATATTTTCTTAAAATTCAAAGAATACTTTTATAATGTGAGTACATATATTTCTATGTGTCATTATGTGCTACAACCAGAACTTTCCCGGACCTATGTAATGAACATATTCAGTGTCCTTTACATATTTGAATGAATTGGTGTTGTTTTATCAATCAAAAGTGTTTAACGTGAATCCGAATGTCTTCTCCGAATCATTTTTGTTATGTTTATTACCGCCATTCATCGAAGAATATTATTTTCTGTTCTGATTTTTACATGATTCTTTTACCGTCAGTGTTATTTAGAATAGAGTGTATATAAACGGTACTTAGTATTGGTTAGAAACATTATTGTACCATTTGTCATTAAAAACAAAGAAAATGTAGCAGGTTAAAAAAGATGGTATCATTTTCAGTAAGTAATGCTGCATTCTATTGCATGTATGATCATGGTTTGTAAATTACCCTTCAGACATTCACTTTCAAGAGAGCACGAAAAAATACATTTGTGAAGTTTGGTTTGTCACCATCCTTTAAGTATTAACACGCTTAGTAAACAGTTATATGCATAATTTAAAAAAGGAATAATTACACGATGAGGTCTGATTTGACAAACAAATGACGTCAGATAAACTACTACAACGTTCAATGCAGTTCAACATATTTGTATTTATTCTCTTATAGCATATTAGAATAAACATACAATGTAGATATTAATTTCCTTGCATTATAGTATAATAATGCACGGTTAGTCGTTCAGATGCTTTAGGCCTATCGGTCTTTGTGATTATATTTCTGCGCATTCCAACTCGAACCTTGCGTCATTCTACAACAATGCACTGAAATTGTAATTCGACAAACAAGAAATTTGCAGACTCGCTCAGATTAAATTTTAGATCTACCGACTAAAGCATACATCACTCTTTACAATTAAATGATTGCAATGCTTTATTGTGTTGTCAATATTTTTTCTCTGTTAGTGTAGTAGCTTACTTATTATTTCCCTTAATTTTTAAATAATAGTTATACTAGGATTGTCTAAAAATGTTTCTATTTTCTTATATTTGCTTAGCTTTTTTTAATATTTTTATGTTTTTGTCAATGAATTCTGTATGTGTGTTAGCTTAATATATGCTCTATCTGCCTTTAATATTTAGTTAGATGATTATTATGATTTGTTCTCTGTAACGTTATGTAAGTAGTGAAATATTGTTAGTTTCACTTTAAGTAAATCGTACTTTCCCGTCTAAATTTGCGTTGTTTGATCATTCAGTAATGAAAAAAATGTAAATAGTATCATCGCACAAAAGCTTGGTGAAATATCACTGTCAATTTGAATGTTCACTGTCAATTTTAATCACTTGTATCAAATTGTTTTCTTTTTAATTTTACAGGCACCTTGTTCTTCAATATAATCGTTTTGTGTTTCCATATCTTTGTCTTTGTTGTTGAAGTTTTATCAAAATGTATACAAAGTTGTACACAAAAGTTAAATGGTGAAACTTGTAGAATCAGTTTGATTTAGTCAAGCGATGATTATGATAATAATAAATGATGATGATTGCAAAAAAGCTAGCGGTATCCAATCTTCCATTTTCAAAACTGTTAAAAACAGAACAATTTTATCTATAATTGATCATACAGCTTACGTTTTTTCAATTTGTTTTACATATATTTTGTATTAAAGTTGAATAATATTTTTATTATGTTTGCTGACAAATAAGTCATTACAATCGTTCAGTGTGTTGGATTGATCTGTCATGATTTAACAGTTTATTAAAAATGTGATTGATATAATCTATTCTATGTTATGTCCTGACTTTGAGCAAAATGTTTCAATTTATGTTCAGTAAAACAACTTTTTATCACTTGCTTAATTCACGTTTTTAATCATTCATATACTAAATTGTAATGAGTACCATCTTAAAAAAAGTGGGTCGATATTCTTGACCAATTTTCAAGATTTTTCGCTTTAGTTGTAATTATTTTAAGATGTAATTGTAACATTAGTTTCTGAACGTAAAACACTTTTGTGAAATTATTTGCGTTTCAATATTTTGGCGTAACCTGATCTTTTATTAACTTAAAGTTAAAAAGATCTGAAAATGGGTGTTAAATTGATCACAAGAAAACAAAATTTCAAGCTAAAAAGTCGCAGAATTTGTTTGCTTTAGTCAGTTTCTGAATGTTAATAGAACCTGCAACATCCCTCACACACACAGTACCGGTTTGAGCGATATTCTACTTCAAAAGTAAACAAAAAATAAACAAATAGTTTGTCAATCTCAAAGCTTATCCTAAATCATTTTTTTTGCAGTCTCTGTTAAACAACACTTAAATTTTTGGGAAAATTTGTGTTATGATTGATTGTGGTTTCCAGTCAGTCTTACAGTTGCAATGTTATTTTGCTTGTTTTTTTTTCTTTATTGTTGTTGTTTGTTGTTGTCGTTGTTATTGTTATTTTTATTATTATTATTATTATTTTTGAATTTAAAACGTCTATGTATAACCTGATTTTTTTTGACCTGTCAATTATGAATACATTTTAGCACTCATTTAAATATTCGATCCTTTTCCTTTTTTAAGTATATTTTAATGAAAATGGTCAAGCACTTGCAAAATTGTCTACACGGATATGAAACAACTAAGAAACACTGAATTGTCACATTTTGTATTGTATTTTACGGCACTGAAATTACATTTATTGATTTTAATCCAAATGAAATTTCAGTAATAATTCTTACACAATGTTATATACAAAAGTAAAGTGTTTACAAAAAGTGCAAAGAAAAATTAAAAAAAAACAGAACAACCATAACTTACAAAAAATATTTAAACTAGTTATCAATAAGAAAAAAACCTGGACATACTCTGTCTCGATCATACAACATGTAAGACATTTAGCTATTATATACCCGTAGTTTACCCTATTGCGCTATAACGGTCAATGTAACTAATTCATAGAAACTAGATGAATTTAATCACATCTTACTGCAACCTTTCACGGAATTAACCGAACATTTATCGAATATTAATATATTCTGTGCATTGACCGTATAATCAGTATGGAATTGACAGGTTAATAAAATCAAACAATAAAATAGTTGAATTTAGCATTAGACCATTTAATTCTTGTCTTTTGCTTAAATTGAATTGGTACATTTTCCATATTACGTATTTCCAATTATTGATTAAACGTAAGAAATGTATTATTTTGATACTGTTATGAAATACATTTTGAAAACAAATTGTTGATTTAAATTTTAAAGTGTTTTAGTATGTACATATTTATGATGAATGATAATATTTTGTTCTAGAACCGTTTATAATCTGTATTTATATGTCTTATATGGAAATGTATCTTGCACTTATCAACATCATCCATATATAGAATTAGTTCGTGTTTCGTGTCACGTATGATGCTGAATACTATTAACTTAATTATTTACGGTATTACAGATCTGCCAATGTGGAACACTTCACTTTAGGGTAGCTGCATATTTTGTGATAAGATAAATTTGTTAAGGTTCTACATTAAGTTTTTTTCAGTGATATACATTTGAGATTTATTTTGTTATAACTTAATAACTTTTTAAGATGTGTAATAATAATAATAATAATAATAATAACAATAAATAATAATAATAACAGTAATTCAATTTCAGTTTCGATAAAACGTACCAGTTATCATTTGTTTGTTTCCAATGAGCCATGATATTTTCTTAACCTAACTGTATAGTTTTAATTGTATCTTGAAATTCTTTGAGTGTATGTTTGGTTTCTTTGCAAGTTATAGGCTTATAGCGTTCAATCCTTTATCGCTTGTTTCACTATACATGTATATATAATAAAATATATTACTCATACCTAAAACGTTGTTATCTTTGTTTATTACCCAATATCTAAATTCGAGGTTGTTCAAAATGTTTATGGTCTGCGGCTCTACTATTCAGAACTTTTGATACGGTGCAGGATTTTACAAGAGACAAATAGAACATATCTATAATATATAGTGACAACATCAATTCAATATGTTTACAAATCAAAATTTTGTGAAAATTATAAATAACAAGGGTACGTACCCGACCCGCCTCACGCCTAAAATACAACACAGTCATGTACGTGACGTCGCAATATAAATGAAAAGGATGTCACCAGCATCATAGTTTGTTTTGAATTTACTCTCTCGAATGTTCAATGTCTCCAGGTCATGTAACCATAAACAGTTTTCTGTTTGTAATGATGAAGCGAGAAGGAACGTGGTCATCTCTTCGCACCCGTCTCTGCATGAAGTTCTAAGACAATTTGCAGACTTCTCCCTCACCCGTTCTGCTTGTGGTCATGTATTTACCGTCTTTAAATTGCTTGCGCCGGCTTAAACTAAGGGACGTTATCGCTTATTTATTACCCTTCATTACCATGATTAATTAACCATCCCATATGTAGCTGAAAGAGTATCCAGATTTGTTGGTTAACTTACCGATATTGTGTATATCTCGTTTTTAAACGGGTGTCATATTTTGCAATTTACCCTAATGTCAACTGCTGGTCAAAAACGGTTTGATTAGCAATATAACGTCCAAATGAGGTCGAATTTCAAATATATGTCACTTGAATATTAATATATGTTTACTCGCAATTTCATATTGAAATGACTGTTCAATTTGATTAAGCGCTAGTTTATATTTCACCGTTGTATTAACATTTCGGCATGCGCATATTTTGCGTGAGCAATTCGTCATACTAAATGTATTCACACTAGAAGACTTTAAATGCGTTTCTCATATACCGTATATTTGGTAACCTTGAGGTAGGGGTCAAAGTAGACTGAAATGGAAAGGACATTTACATAATTTGTTCTATACAATGCTATAGAAAGAAGGGATCGAGATGCGGAAAAAATCCTAATTAATCAATACAAACTTATTTAAGGGGACGATGCATAGTGGGTGAGTTGTCTGTCTTTAACGAAAGAGACCGTGGGAAATAACCATATTTAAACCAAGACTATATTTCCTTATATTGCCCCGGTGACGGTTAGTTTCCGGAAGCACACCCGAAAATGGTAAATATAAATAAATAACAAATCCTTGTTTCTCCATCGACCTAAAATACATAAATGTAGATTATCATAGGTTTTCTTTATATGTGTATAGTAAAAACTTAAACTTTTTTCTCTGAAATGACAAAGATTAGAGGTAAGCTATTTGGCATGAAACATTGTGTTGTTGACTTCTGCCAATTTTGTTCAAATTATGGCTATGAGGTCAAAATTGTTCGTGCCCCGGGGCATAGATTTACATTCCTAACAATTATAGTAAAATCTTATAGGAAAACCATCTTCTGAAGCTTAAAGGCTAGAGCTTAGATATTTGGCATGAAACAATGTGAACCTCTACAAAGATTGATCAAATCCCTAGGGCAGTATAAGCTACATCCTTCCAAAAGAGTACAAAGTGAACTACTTACTTGTCCTTACAGCTGACCTAGCAGATTATGACAAATGACCTTCTTTCTTGTTCTTTCATGTACAACCATAAAATTTAAACCATAATCACAGTTTTATATGTCCTATTGAACTGATATTAGATGACCTAGATTTAGATGTTTTGAACTATTTTCTTGTCATTTAATGAACAACTATGAAATTTGGACCTTGATCACAATTTAAGATGTCAAATCAAACTTAGATATCACATGACCTATATTTTGACAAAGTGACCTTTTTTTGTCTTTTGATGTAAAACTATGAAATTTGGACAATGGACATGGTTTTAGATGTAAAAGTCAGCTTACCTAGATTTTGATGAAGTGACCTCCTATGACTTTTCTATATACAGCTATGACATTTTGGCCATTTGCACAAGTTCAGGTGTAGAACTAAAAT